CAATGCACGAGCAGCAGCGCGGTTGTATCAAGAACGCTATCCCGAACGACAGCATCCGGGATACAAAAAGTTTATTGCTATTCATCGGCGGCTCTCCGAGACAGGCATGTTTAAAACCAACATGCATGATACTGATGTTGCTCGAACCGTAAGAACGGTCGAATTTGAAGAAGAGCTCCTTCAGCGAGTTGGCGATCAAGTAGCACACATTGCTGAGGATATAAATACGAGTAACGCTTCCGCCTGGCGGGTGCTACACGAGCAACAACTTTATTATCATTATCATGCCAGATTTCAATTTTGTCAATGGCTTCTTCATCAAATCGCTGCACAACCAATTTTTTTACGCTATGTTTTATAGACCGATGAATCCTCTTTCACAAGAGAAGGTATTTTTAATAGTAGGAACATCCACGTTTGTGACAAAGAAAGTCCCCATGCAATTTTTCCTAGATAACATCAGCAACGTTGGTTTGTCAACGTATGGGTCGGCATTGTTGATTATTTGATTGAGCCATACCTTCTACCGGAACGGTTAACAGGACCTATTTTTCGGCGTTTCTTGGAGGAGGCTCTTCCAGATCTTCTTGAAAGTGTTCCATTGAACGTTCGACAGCAAATGTGGTTTCAGCATGATGGAGCGCCGGCTCACTTTGCTGTACAAGTACGTGAGTATTTGGCTCAGCGGTTTGGGCACCGTTGGATTTCCAGAGGTGGAGCAGTTTCTTGGCCTCCTAGGTCACCCGATTTAGCGTCGTTAGATTTTTTTTCTGTGGGGACATATAAAGTCTTTGGTCTACAAAACTCCAGTAGAAACAGAGCAAGACTTAATTGGACGAGTACCAATTTTTAGTCAAGTCCGCCGAAATCATGTGCGACGTTTAAGTCGGTGTATTCAGGTTGGAGGAAGACATTTTGAACAATTGTTGCGACAATATCATGTACAAAAGGCAAAAATTAAATACAATAAATCCTATTTAGGTAATTCATCGTCTTTCTAAATTTTAACGCGTCTTAGGGCCGTAGTGCCGTAGTGACACTTTTCCGGATATGGGTCCCTATACTCAAATGTTTTCTACTATTACACTGTATAACTCCTAGGAGTTTGATCCCTTAGTTCTGAAACACCCTGTATATTGCTTCAAAGATAAACTCCCAATCATATCCTATGAAAAATTTGCGAATGGTGCTTACCAAAGCACCGATAGTTTCTGTTTACTACGCGCAAGTTCACACAGTATGCACTTTGGTTCTGGTGTTTGTACACAAATGCTCAGCAAGTATTTTCGGCTCAGAAAATAGCAGCTAGATGCAGATCTCCGGATATACGGGGTCCACGAATTTTCAATAGGCTACCAAATCACATTAAAGACTGTGGAGATATACATAATCTTAAGGCTAAGCTGAAAAAATTTCTTGTGAGTAAATGTTAGGTATTATGCCGTCTCTGAGTTAGTTATGTTATGATTTATTTGTGTGTTCTTTTATATACACAATATATTTGTTTTGTGTTGTTTTATTAGTTTTTATTCTGACGAATCCTGTACATACATTGTAATGTCTCTTAGGAAAACAAAAAAAAATAATCTGAACTTAAAGGGAATATACTCTGTAAATGATAGCGTGAGCGGCCATATTTTGTTTAACGTGGAATTAAATAATTATTGATTATACGTAAGGAGATGGCAAATTGAAGCTTCGCATGTTACTGGTAACTTTCAATTTTTCACGTTTGTCGATTACATTGAAGAAATTGTTCTGGCAAAAAATAAAGCAGGTCGAAGACACGCCTTATCGACCATCATGTCAACAAAATATGAATAACTCGTATGTTGAATAGATTTGGTGTGACGTAAGTGCCTTGTCATCCTGCGGCTCATAAATGCATTTGCCTTGACAAATTCTGTTGGTGCGTATTGAGATATTTATTAAGCTTTACTGCATTTGCTCACGACAAAGTTCATTTCCAGTCAAACAAAACCCTGAACAGTAGCCGAAAATGGCGTAATACCCACGTGTAAATATCCATATGCACCCCAGCCATATTGTGGAAGGTGTAATGCAAAATCTAAGCAAAACGCAATTCGACCTGATGCATTCAAGAACCAAACATGACAAGGTCGTTTACGAAATTATGAGCTGATCGAATTGACCTAAAGTTGGTACAACATTGATAATATACATATATATATATATATTTATGGGGATGGTATTTTTCAACCTCAGTGGAACTTATAGAACTTATCCCTTGAATGCTCCTTAAATCCATTATGTGTTATCTGGTCAATGCCAGCTTGAAAAGAAACAGAAAATGCTCAGAGATCCGCAGAAGGGCAATATTTTATTTTATATGAGAACAAAATAATTACGTGGTATTCATAATTAATTAGTGTAATAATACTAAAGATTAAAACAAAAAACTTCATTGCTCTCTTTACCGAAAAAAAAAAAATAAAACATGCTGAGGCACCCCGAGGCATATCTCAGTCCATTCCACACAAAACAACGTCTTTGACTGCGAAAACGAACATGAGACCAAAAAAATCACATTATCGTATAGACGCTAGACGAGACAAAGAAGGATGTCTATAGATCATCTATAGATCGCGTCTTGAGGCCGTATCCAGACTGTCTATAGACAAATTGCGCAACTAGGTCTACTAGTGTATACTAAGCTTAAGGATTAAGACTCTGAACTACCCATTAAACAAGTCAAGTAATTGGTGCAAATACTGACACAATCAAGCACTTCTATTGTATCAGCAGGTGATGAAAATATCAATAGGTATAGTCAAATAATTTTTGAAATTCAATACAGATGTTACGTTTATTGTTCAGACTTTCGTTGTCGAACTTACATTTACGGCATAGTTGTTTCCTCAGTTTTCGAATCGCTGTTGATGGCATGTAAACATGTTGGAAATCTTTGGAAATAACTATATCTGTTAGAAAGTAATTATTTTGGTAATGTATGTTTGAACGAAACAAGAAGAGGAATACAGGGCTGTATGTATTCACGTGAGGTGCAGAAGCTCTGTGATTTAAACGAATTCAATAGAGTAAAATAAATAGACACATGCGCGGAAGAGATGCAGGGCGTGTACTTTGACTTTGAGCATCGATGGACGCACTTTCTGGACAGGCCACAGGTGCACCGCTAAACAAATCTCATAAATGTCCTTTTTTTAGGCATTCATCTATAATAGTGCTTCACTGCAACACCAACCACGAACAAAATCAGTCAAGCTTTATACACTTTTCAAATTACTATTGATCAACAAACAGATCATAAATCACTTTTTAAGTGCAATCTGCGTTCGGAATTCCAAAGGATACCAAAAAATCGAATTGCTCAGTTCTTATAGTTAGGCATGCCTCTGTCGTCTTGTTGTGTCAAAAAGTAACACAATGGTGTTAGATTACAAAAGCCTAAGGGGGGGGGGCCGCAATACCCCCTCCCCCAAATCCGCCACTAGGCAAATTACAGTTCGGACCATGCACCAGACAGCGCCTACTGGACAAACATCGCTTGGCTTGTCAAAGAGTTCCAATTTGGGGTACAGATTAAAGCAGATGGACTATTCGAGCTGTCACAAGCCACAGATTCGAATTGGTCAAGGTTATACGTAAACTCGAAAGTCTAGTTGTGTGCAACCAATATATTTTAATGATTTGCTGAATAGAGCTGTTTAATCTCAAAAGCCGGATCCATGAAAATCACCATCCAGCTTTGTGTCATTCAATCAACGCAAAACGCTAAAATGTGAATCAGGCGGTAACAATAATTAGGAGATATGTTGGTTTTGGATCAACGTCCCTCATGTTTCGTTCAAACAAAAAACATATCGATACGCTAACACAATTGGATATAGGGTGAATTCAAAATTCCACAGGATTGTAATCCAATGAGGATTTGACAACACCATGCAAACAAAAGTAGAAGCTCTGTTGGTTCATGTCGGAAAACCAAATGCGCCTGAAAGCAATATTAGCCAGGATATTTTGCATAGCAACCAGATATATTTTACTAAACCATCAGCAAAAGTCTTTAGAGGCAGAAATTTGACATGGTGACAGTAAGTAATACTAATAAAAAAATCAGTCATTAACCCACTTGAAATGATTTTTCAACTGTATCGTTTACATGACGGATAAACGAGTAGCACCGTTAATGATACTATATCCGTATTGCTAGTAATTTTACGTCATTTTAAGAAGTTATACAAAGACATCACTTAAAAAATATAAGTAGAATATGACGGCATCTGTTGGCAGCAGTAGAGATCGTTGTACTGTCGGAAGCGCATTCTGTTGGCACCGATAACTAGTAGCGTTATCTACCAGTGACCGGCATCCGAATAACAGTAGCGGTTATTTACTTCGTTTTCACCTGTAAAAGTGGTACGTTTTGCCTAAACGTCATGCCACTTGAGCTATATGGTTTCATATTATCTTTGCCCTAAGCTGTAAGTTTTATACTATTGACAGAATGATGGCCGTTGTTGGGGCGGAATCTGCTAGCTACTAATTAGTACACAAGTTGACATTATACCGATACGTTTTATTATTCATTTTATTGCAAAAACTATCTCAATCCATGTAGAATACACCTTGAAAATTTCAGCTTGCTACATGAGTGTATCGTTTCACGTTCGTTGTTGTGATGCGATAAACGTACGAAACGCAATAGAATGCCTCTACGACCTATTGTGTTTAGCCGCTCTTTATGGCGATTTACCAACAAATGCAGAAGATAACTTGGTTTAGCTAACTTTTAAAGAACATGTTCGAAATGGCCTCCATTATTCTCTATACACAAGCGACTCCTTCTAATAAAATGTTCTTTTAGTCTTTGAAATGAATTTGTGTTTTACAGAATTTTCATTCTTGCTTCCTCAATTTTCTGATGCAGTTGACATTTGTACAAGGTGCGTCAAAAGTTTCTAGGTGATTTTAAAAATTCATATTATTATTATTATTTACTCTAATTTTATTTTCAGATATTTGAAATGCTACCGTGGAAGTTTTATCATGGAGAGACTAAGCGGCCAGCAAAGAACAAAAATCCTGGAATTTTATTTTGAAAATAACCATTCAATTATTTCCACTCAGAGAGCCTATCGCCGATATTTCAATGAGAGAAACCGCCCGGCGGGAATGACTATACGCAACATTATTCATCGTTTTCAAGAGACAGACTCTGTTTCTGATATGCCACGAAGCGGAAGATCCCGTTCCGCCGTTACCAACGCAAACATACAGGTGGAGGAAAGTGTTCAAGATGACCCCGAAACATCGACGCGAAGAAGATCAACTCAACTAGGGCTCGCTCGAACTTCACTCAGGGGTATTTTAAGACGTTTACATCTCATACAGCTGAAGCAACACTTGAACCGATGAGATAACTTTTTGGAGATCGATTAATTTCAAGGCGAGCACGAATTGAATACCCTCCATGCTATTCAGGTTTGACAGCGCCCGACTTTTACCTGTGGTGTTATTTGAAAGGAAAAGTCTTTCGGAATAAACCTCGAATGATAAAACAACTAATGGACAATATCCGAGCAGAAATTCAGGCGACACCACAAGAACAACCTGCTGCAGTTATGGAGAATGAAAGAGCAGTTATGTGTGAAACCGAAAATGGAAGACAAAAAACTCCATTATGGAACTCCATTTCAGTAAAACATTTGATAAAAAATTTTATAAAAGAAAAAAGTTATTGTAATTTCAAATCACTTAGGAACTTTTGGCCCACCCTGTATATTCAGATGTATAGATTGTCCCCTTATAAAATCGCCATATGAAAAAATCTAGAGGTTCTAAATCGGGTGACCTTGGAGGCCATCGTATGTGTCCACCTATCCAACGCCCAGGATATGCACTGTCTAAGCTAAGGAATGAGGTACATATCATGCAAGGTGGCATGGGGCACCATCGCATTGAAAATACATGCTGATTCGAGCGTCCAAAGGTACATCCTCTAGCAGCTCTGCAAACTGCTTTGTAGAAAAGCAAGATATGACTGACCATTCAACCTGCCGGGAAATTCATATGGCCCAATTAATTTTTTGTTAAATACTCCAGCCCATAAATTAACGCCGAACTGACGTTGAAAGCTGTGTCGGCGAATGGCGTGTGGATTTTCCACACTCAATGAATGGAAATTGTGCATATTGAATATTTTATTTCGGTTAAAGTTGCCATAAGATGCCGTCGGAAAAAGTTTCATCCTCTTCGCACCTTCTCAACATATTCTCACAAAATTCAACTCGTTCCTTGGAAGCAATTCATGTGCTCCGAGCGTAGTATTGAGTGCACTGAAGTATGATATGTTTCTGCTTCAAGCAATGGCTTCGATGCTTAGAGAGGGTTCTTTCTCGGTTGCTTCTATTATATGTTCTATTCCTTCTGGGTGTATCCTCGGCGCTCCTAACTGACGATGATTGTCTAGTATATGGCCCTCCATAACGCGTAGAAAGACACGGTAGTCGATTTGTACCTCCGGTTGTGGTCCACCTCTTCTAACCACATACTCCCGATACATGCGAGCAGCTGCTCGAGCATTTCCTAGGGCAGCACCATAATAGCGATCCATTTCTGCATAATCTCGCGGAAAATATGAGATGATTCGACTCAGATGCCAAACGTTAGATACAAATCCCGCGCTGGACTATTGCCTGACTTAGTAATTTCAGTCGAATCGAAGAGTGAACGCTCCCGCACCTGGAATGCCGAGTTGAATGCTCATTAAGCTGATTTGGCTATTTGCTTAAAAAATGCACCATTTCAATTTTACAACATGTTAATACACACAGTATCACTCGCACTGCTAGGAGGAGTCTAACAATACCTCTCATATGTCAAAATCCATCAAGTGGTTTGGACTGTAGCTGGTAAAATAGAATTTTTTGTTTACATGTATACCCACCTGCGTCAAACATACAGACTTTTAGGGTGGGGCACTTATCGTAGCAAGCTGACATTTTAGAGGGTTTATTCTACATGGACTGAAATAGTTTTTACAATAAAATAAATATAATCAATTTTTTTACCGCCCTCCAAAATTGAGGGATGGAAGAGATTTTTCACAAAAAAAAAAATGAATTTAAGATTGTTTGCGTTGATTTCTAATGAGCTCTGTTAAAAGGTGACATAACCATTGCTAAAACTAACCATTTAGCTCATCTCAAAGATAATCACACCCTAAACATAATGGTTTAGTTGTAATTGCGATTGAAAGTTAATTATTAGGTTTTTTCGAAATTTCACAAAATTGCAAATATCTCCTGAGCTATAAAATTTCGGACCACACATATGGGGGTTCATTCGATAGGTTTTGAGACCTCTACTACCTGACTTCCGTCGATCCACTACTAACTTTACACCCTGTATAGCCTAGACTAAGGAATCGATAAAGCATTTGTGCCAAAAGCACCTTCCTGTCTTTCTGTTTATAAAGGGCATAGCACTGCTGAAGGAAATCCTACAGTCGTTAATCCAAGAGCTTTCTCTATAGTGAACGAATAGCCTTTTTTTACCCTCTTTATTATAAACTAACCTGTAAGTTGGACAACAGAGAAAAATACAAATATATAAGATGTATAACTGGTATAAACTAGCTATTAGACCAAACTACCAAGTCGCCACCAGTACAAAGCAAAAACTCAATAGGGCGGAAAATGAAGAATAACGCCAGAAAATAAGACCGGAACCTAACGACTGGGTTCGTTCTGGACGAACTATAGAGGTCAGATGGCTACTAACTTTTTAAGCAATTCTATACGTTTCAGAAAAACTTTATTTTTTTACTTAACTTGACCATCTAAACATTTTAGTTCTACCTGTAAGTTAATATTTATAGACAAAAGAATGCAAACATTTTGTACAAGCGAATTTTCCTTTGCACGCTTATAACACGTATAATTTTCGAATACAGAAACACATTGCTTCATTAATGGTGATGTTGGCTTAGGAACACGTTTTTTGACATATATAATTAGAAATTCTCAAAAACTACTTGACCGTTGTGGCTATTTAGTATGAGGTCTATACAGGGTTATCCAAATTAAGTGTCCACCATTAGTAACTTTGTTATTAGTGAAAATACAAAGTTGTTTGAATCAGCAAACTAGTAGCATTTTTAACGCTGGTAAAAATGAGAAATAAAAAAAACAATTGAGTCGTTATTTTGATTTTTTTCAGTAAAATAACATTTTTTTAAATGGAAACCCCTGTATATTATATTTTTTTCTGTTAAAGCATCAAATTTTAAACAAAAAAGCTTACAATAACTTTTCTCCTAGGTTACAAATTGTTGAAGTTATGGCCTCCAATCTGAAACAATTAAATTGTATCGACAAACTTTATTTTCAACATCAACTTATAATCTTACAAAATACAATAACAATTTTTTTTAAAGAAGATGCTCGAAAACACCACCTTGTTCTTCAATACATTTTTGGGCACGTTTTTCAACTGCTCGAACTGTCTTAAGTATGGTCCTACCATCTATCTGGGTTATCTTTTCCCTAACTGCAGTCTTTAACGCGTCAAGGTTATCGTACCTTCGCTTGTAAATTTGGTTCTTTAAGTAACCCCACAAGAAGTAATCAAGTGGGTTTAGATCTGGTGATCTGGGAGGCCACTGTATTGGGCCATTTGTTCCTATCCACTGATCATTAAAAGTAGTACTTAGAAAATGATAAGTACCTCTGGAGTTGTGGGCAGGTGCGCCATCTTGCTGAAAATGCATATGATGTCTACTTATAAGATCCAATTCGTCTAAGAAATTAGTCAGAATTTCTGACATAAATTCCACATATCTTTCACCAGTTAGGGTTCCCTCATAAAAGAACGGGCCAACAATTTTTGATCCAATTATACCGCACCAAACGTTGAAACTGAAAGGGACTTGTGGGCCTCTTGGATGTACTAACAAAAGATTTTCTCTTGACCAATAATGGTGGTTTTTTCTATTAAACATTCCAGAATTTGAAAAATTTGATTCATCTGTTCATAAAAGGTAACGAAAGTTATTTACATTTTGGCGACAGAAGCTAAGATACCAATGGCAAACTCTCTGGATCCCCTGCCAAAAGCGTTTGAACTGGTCGGTACTTATACGGAATAAATTTGTATTTTTTTAAAATCCTTTGAACAGTACCATAACTGAAATTAGAGTCTTTGAGAATATCTGCTATTGAATTCTCACGATAAGCTTCAAAATATCCAATAACTGCAATTTCCGTGGCCTCGCTTATTATGAATTCTTTTTTTGCCCTTGTTTTAGCAAAAACATTTTCGTTGCCCCTAAATTTTCGATAAAGTCTCAGAAAATATCGTTCATACGGTTGAATGCGAGCGGGATATAATTCACTGTAGTATTCTCTTGCTCTCAAGGAGGATTTTCTGCACACTAAATAGCATTCTAACATATCACACTTTTCTTCATGGGAGAACATTTTTCTTTAAATTAATGACACAATAAAGCTTATAAACAAATATTTACACTAATGTTTGACATTATTTGATTTTATCATTGTTTTCCAAAGCCTTCTAGTTGCGAGTATGTCCAGTTTAACAATTTGTCGCTTATCTTAATGCTGTCAAATCGCGAACGCCATGTTGTTTTCATAGCCGTCTTAATATTATAATACTGCAAATAATTAAAAATATTTATCGTTATTTTGACTTTATTTTTGACTTTAGCGGAAAAGTCATTATGAACTTTTTTGTTTAAAATTTGATGCTTTAACAGAAAAAAATATAATATACAGGGGTTTCCATTTAAAAAAATGTTATTTTACTGAAAAAAATCAAAATAACGACTCTCAATTGTTTTTTTTATTTCTCATTTTTACCAGCGTTAAAAATGCTACTAGTTTGCTAATTTAAACAACTTTGTATTTTTACTAATAACAAAGTTACCAATGGTGGACACTTAATTTGGATAACCCTGTATATCCGTGTAATTTGAAGTATTTGCGTGATACTACTCTTTCACGGTCTTCGAGTGCCAAAGCTAACATCTTGGCGAGGTTTTTGGCCATGACTTTTTTGCTTTGATCTTTTCATGTGTGGTTCATCTTGTAGATTTCTCAAGTACCTAAGATCTTGATTGAAGAATCGTTTCTTTTAATTAAAAGTTTTTCGGTTCCATACTAAAAAAGGCATTATCTAATTATAAGTAGAACAACCGCGTAGTTCACGTGTCAGTCCCTCATAGGCGGTAGTTCGGTCAACGGCTGTCATAATTTGACCGCTTGGAACGTAGATCACAGAAAGGATATATTTTTTCTGAGAACTTTAGGTTTCAAAACTAAAGTATATAAAATTAAATTTTAGTTCAGTTAGATTGAAGTTTCGGTTGGCCCTTTTTAGTATCCATCAAACAATTT